AAAGTTCAAGTTTCCGAACGTTCGAGTTATCGCGTGTTCAAGTGCCGCGAGTGCACTGTAGAGTTCGAAATTTCGAGGTTATTTAAGTTTATGTATTTATCACTGCTTATAGAATTTTATCGTGTTACCAGAGTGCAACGATATATCGAAGTTTGTCGCTAGCTTTCTAGAGGTATCTTAAGTTTATCGAGTTATCGATTAAGATCGAAATGTGTACATTTCTTTGTAATCGAAATTTATCGGGACCTCGAAACACAGTTATCAAAAATTATCGAAATTAGTTAAGTTATCGAATATTGTTAAATTAGAGAATTTTAGTGTTTTTGAAATTCATTGAGTTATCGATATGTATCAAATTATCGAAAATTAGCGACAAACTAGAATGTATCGGGTCAATTCCAAGTCCTCCAAACCTCCTCAAAGATATTCAAAATTGTAGTCACTTTTAAATTGCAAAGTAGGAGATTTTCCTGTAAATAATTCGGTACCTTATAAGTTAGAGAACCTATTAGCGCGAATCTGACGCTGCGAATCCGCAGAGCCAAAACGAATCCCGGTCGCGTGCGCCTCGCTTAAGGGACTTAAACGAATAGAAAAAACGTTCGAATTTCGACGGTAACTGGCACTCCTAGTATATTTTAAATAAACACTTTCATACTTGTTTTTTCTTTTGTTGAGTTGTTCATTGAATATTAAGTTTTAGCAGGGAAACATCTTCGGGTTTCGCATTTCAAAGCTCAAAATGAAATGCACTTTATCAGAAAGTGAATGGTGGGTCGAGAGAATAAAATATATTAAAGTTTGTATTTCAAATGCTTTTATTTGCACACTTTGTAACCAGTTTAAAAATAAGAGATCACGTTTTGTATGATACAGAATATTGTTTTCAGAGTACGCATGTATGTATTGTCCAGACTGAAGTCGCTTGCCGCATGCAAGACTTGCAGCAAACAAGTGTTATGTACATACATATATGATATGATTACATACATAAATGTACATATATGAGTGTGAATATTTGCCCATACTATACTTATTTAGGTAGTTCTTTACATAAGCTTACTAAGCTTACTCCATCTGCAGTAAATTTTTTATTTCCGGCTAAAATCTTTCAACCAAGCTTTCATGTAGAAAAGCTCTACTGGAGCTTTTGCTCATATTATTGGTTAATATGAGATGCTAAACGGATACTAAGAAGCATGTACTTGTATATGCACAAAAGCACATAGCTGCCGGTAAAACACAATTGCTGGAAAAAGCTTCAATGCAGTTTTCTCCTGAACAACCGTTAGCTTTGTTGTTAGATGCATCTTTATCAAAGCACTAGTATGAGGTAATAAGAAGAGCCGCAACAGAGATTGGATGCGATCTTTTTCCTCGGTATGATGTGGTATCTGCGGCTAAGAAGGCGTGTTATGTGGAGAAAAAATAATGTAGTGAAAGTTATGCTTGCGAAAGTCTGCAAACTTACTAGATTTAACTCTAAACCCGATTTTTATTACCAAAAGTGATACAGAATTGTGATGTACGAAAAATGAACTCTAATTTCTAAATGGCAATGTGATGGCTCCTCTGGCCATAGCGTGTAGAAGCAAGCATTTCACGAAGAAGACATTACAGGTGCGAGTTTTTTTTTGACTTCTTTAGTGACACTGCCATTTCGCGACCAAAGGGATTATTCCCTGGAACAATAACAGCCCTACTTCTACAAGGCTTTGTCGATCAGTGCAATTCTAATTTATGAAGGAAGGTAGAGAAACCATCCAAAATGAAATTGCGAGATGGAATCGGAAATCGAAAATCTTAATGTTACGGAGTTAGAAATTCAAATTTCTGCCATGCCAAACAGCTTGTCATAAAAATACAATCGCCGTTGGGAGTCGGCTTGTTAAACTGTAGGTCGCTCCCCTTTGTGTAACAACATCAACGCGCACGCCACAAATCGGAGGAGAAGCTCGGCCAATCACTAACGTATGTGTAAGTGCCAATATACATATTATATTATCTATACATATAATAAAATTGTAACAGGTCGATGTCTGTACATTATA